CGTGCGCTCGACAGACAGAGAGACAGAAAGCGAGAAATTACCCCCCAGGGGGGGATGGCCACGCCGCAGTCCCTTCTCCATTCTCCTCTCAGGGTCTTGCGCACATGCGCACACCTGGCGTGAGTTTAAGCCACCAAGTCTCGGGCTCCAACCGCGGTCGACTACATGGGAGTCCAACGACATAGCTATGACGCTAGCTGCTGGTCCTGAGAGTTTATTTTTCTTAACAGCTTTAGTTGTAGAAATTTTTTTTTAAAAAAATCATAGCATGAACTTTGGATTTTGATCTTTTAGGCTTACTATGAACTCCCTATTACTTCATATTCTGATCACTAATTTTATGTTGGGAAGATTTTCAGTAAACTGAATTCTGCTGTAGCCATCCCACTTCATGCTTTGGTTGATGGCCAAGATTCCACATTTCAGTAGACCTGCTTTGGCATAAATTGCCATCTAACTTAAACTAGTGACTATTCCAAGGACACACTGGGGAACAGAGAATTTTTCTTTTCCCTTTTGACCTTGAGTCCCTCAACTTTTTATATTTTCACCTAAGATTCCTTTGGAAATAAGAACGTCACTGCTTTATTTTTAAAAAAAAAGATAACAAAACCCTTTAAAGACCACTGGTTTGGACTAATAAGCAGCTTATGTTGATGTGTCACCAGGAAGAAGTACCATCCTCGAGTAGTTCTTAGTGCAGTGTTGGAGGTTATTATCTTATGAAAATTGTGCAGTTCACTAGTATAATTGATGCATTAGTTGTCACTGGTAGATGTTCAGGTTTTGGTTCCCAAATGTTTTATTATATTTTTGTTTTGTTTGTTTGTTTGTTTGTTTGTTTTTGGTTTTTTTTTTTTTTTGAGAGAGAGAGATTTTCGCTATAGGGCGCATGCGCTCGCCAGACAGACAGAGGGAGACAGAAAGTGAGAAATCACCCCCCAGGGCGGATGGTCACGCTGCAATCCTTTCTCCATTCTCTCAGGATCTTGGGCATGTATGCACACATGCCCAGCGTGAGTTTTAAGCCACCGGGTCCGGGACGCGAGCCGTGGTCGACTACGTGGGAGGCCACGACATAGCCATTACGCCAACTGTTGGTTCCCATTATGTTTTACTTCTTGATGGTGCAGTAGTAAATGCTTATCTTCTACCCCTAAAAATTAGGACCAAATGGTGGGACCAGCAGTTAGTGTTAATGGCTATGTCACTGGGCTCCCACGTAGTCAACTGCAGTTCAAGTCCTGGATCTGGTGGCGTAAACTCACACTGGGCACATGTGCGTGCGTGCCCAAGATCCTGAGAGGAGAATAGAGGAGAACGGGGGGGGGATTTCTCACTTTCTGTCTGTCTCGCTTTCTGGTGAGCACATGTGACCTATAGCAAAACCTAAAAAAAAAAAGGAAAAATAGGACCAAATGGTGCCGTTCTTGATCTGATGGTTTTGCAGAGGGGTTTTCATTAATAAGTCTACCAATTCTTGATGTGTCGGACCTGGCACACCTTGCCTTAAGCCTGCTAACCTATCTGTCATCTATTGTATTAGCCGTTTTCCTGACCCAGAAGAACCTGCCTGTAGCCTCTAACTAGACTGGGGGCTTGTGGCAGACTGGTTGTTTTGTAAATGATCGTAATTGGGTTTGTCGATTATTGGCCTCTCTGCTTTAAAAAGTTCAGTTACTGATGTTACATCATCAACCTTCCCTGTACACATCCAACCTATAGATTATTTCCTCAGTGAGCCAGTGAGCAGTGATATGGTTCTATTAAATTAGATATTTTCCTTTATTTACCCTTTTGGTACTTGGAGTAAAGGAGTATTGAACAGGATTTTGGCCTGGAGTAGTAAAACTTGGTTTTGGGTCCTAATCAGTAGGTGTATAATTTGCACAGATTTATAGGCAGGAGGGTGGCTCATTCATTCAACAATGAATTTAAATCATTCTCCAAAAGTCTAGTTTGTCAGAAGGTAAATGCTTACCAAAAAGCCAGTTACTTTTGGTCATAAACAATTTGCAGATGTTAACTCATTAATAAGTCATTGAGCTTTCTCAAAGTTCTTTAAGAATTTATAAACTGTTTGACTCTCTTTGTATAGTGGTTTGTCTGTTGTTGATAAAACTAAGGGACCAATGTGCCTGTTCACTCACCCTCTGCCTCACCTTCTCTATTTGGCTGCCGTTTTAAAGTTTGCCCTTCCCAAGTTTGGATTTTTATTTCAGATCTAAAAGCTCTCTCAATCTTAAACTGATTAAATCAGTACTGCAGTATTTGACTGGGGGGGACGACTAAGGGACAAAGCTTTTGTTTTTGTTTTTTAGAGAGAGAGATTTTTGCTATAGAGCATGTAATGCTTGCTGGAGAGACAGAAAGTGAGAACTCACCCCTAAGGGGGATGGCCATGCTGCAATCCCTTCTCTATTCTCCTCTTGGGATTTCGGGCACAGGTGCACATGGGCCTGGTGTGAGTTTCAAGCCACCAGGTCTGGGACTCGAACCGTGGTCAGCTATGTGGGAGTGTAGCACCTTAACCACTACACCACCTCCTGGCCTACATTTTTAAAATTAACTGTAGCTTCTGAAAAACTCTTACTCTTCCCAATTCACAAGTATAAAAATTTTTTACCCATCTTCCCTCATACTTAACTCACGTCCTCTTTTGTGTGCCATTGCGTTTAAATCTACCAAGACTTTTGGTAGCATGTGATATAAACCAAAGCTTAAGCAGAAATGAGAAAATATGGGACCAGCAGGTGATGTGGTGATTAAGGTGCTGGACACTCCCACATAGCTGACCACGGTTCGAGTCCCAGACCTGGTGGCTAGCTTTCTCACTTTCCCCTCTCTCTTTTATTTTTTCTCCCTCTCTGTGCCTCTCTGAACAAATTAAAATAAATGAATAAATAAACAAAATAAAATAAATAATTTTTAAAAAAGAAATGAGGAAATACTTGCTTATGTGTCTGAAAAGAGTAGGGGCATACCTTTCAAGCACAACTAGATCGAGGGCCTTAAATGATGTCAGTCCCAACTCCCCATCACTGTCCAACCTGTTTGTGGTACATTTCTGTCTCTGTGGATAGGTGCTGCGAAATGATTGATGAACAGGTCAACAGTGATACGTTCTTTTAAATTAGATACTTTCCCTTTTTTATGCCTTGATCTGAAAAGGTTTATGGTTGAGCTGGAGGGACCCCTCCTTGGTGTTAGCCTAAAGATACTCACTGACCTGATAAAAATGGTCATCCTCGTAGCAGTGGAGACGAAAGAGAAGGGATTAGCTACAGAAGAGCAGATCTGGGTAGAAATTAAGCCTATCCCTCTGTGAAAGCCCTTTTCTAGCACAGTTTTTGGCATCATTCTAAGCCGTCTTCCTCCCTAAGTGTAATGATTGTAGATATTTTTATTTTTAGCACTCTGCATTCAAAAATGAGAAAAGAGCTCTTAATCTCAGAGGGAATTTCTTATTTATCCTATTCCTACCCTTCATAAGAGAGACAGAGACAAAGGGGAAGGAGAAAGCACCCCCTCCCCCAAAGCAGGGGATAAACACAATTCCTTTTCCATTTTCCATCCTGTCAGGATTTTAGACACACTTGCACATGTACCTAATGTGTGTTTCAAGCCACTGGGACTGAGATTCACATTGCAGTCAGCCATGTGGGATCTGGCTTCCTTAACCATTAAGCTACGGGACCAGTCTTATTTTTTGTTTTGAGAGAGAGAGAGAGAGAAAGAGGTTTTTCCTATAGGGCACATGCACTCACCAGAGAGACAGCGAGAAATCATCCCCCTGGGGGGATGGCCACTATGCAATCGATCCCTTCTCTTGGGATCTTGGGCATGCACGTATCCGCGCCCGGCATGAGTTTAAGCCATTGGGTCCGGGACTCGAACCACGGTTGACTACATGGGAGTCCAGTGACATAGCCACTATGCTATCTACTGGTCCCACTACAGGACCAGTCTTAAGCTTAAGTTTGTAAATAGCAAACAGTAAATAACTGGGTCTTTATAGGCCCAGCCACAGTAGCACACTGCATGATATACTGGAGCCAGAAAGGAAGTCCCAGATTTGGATCCTGGGTTGACCTGAGCATGCTGGCAGGCTTATGATCATGTGTGGTTGGAAGGCTGAGGGGGGGAAAGGGGGACCATGAGCTGATGAGGGTCCAGGATGCCTGTGTGTCTGTCTTCCTGTCTGCCTGCTTTGTAAATAAACTTGAAACAAACAAAAAAAAAATAAGTACGTGGAAGTCACCTCCATTTGAGGAAAGGTACAGATTATACAATTCCCAAGGTTATTAGAAATACCAGAAATTGGGGACCTGCAGGTGGCATAATGATTATGTCACTGGACTCCTACAGTCACCCATGGTTTGAGTACCAGAACTAGTGGCTTAAAACTCACGCAGGGTATGTGTGCCCAAAATCCCAAGAGGAGAATGGAGAAAGGATTGTTGCATGGCCATTCCCCCCCCCAGGGGGTGATTTCTCACTTTCTGTCTCTCTGTCCATGGCACACGCCCTATAGCAAAAATCTAACAACAACAACATACACACACACACACACCAGGAATCTCCTTAGGAAGACAATTAGGTTTTAACTCAGAAGATTCTACATCTTTTTAATGTAAACATTAACATGGGTTGCTCCTAGTTGCTAACTATAGAACAACAAAAAACTTTTTTGGGGGGTGGGGGGGGATGGTGTTTCCCAAGGCTATAAATATTTTTATTTATAGCCTTTTTAATTTAACCTATATAGATAAACTCAAGACTGACTCTATGGCTGAAATGCCACTTTTTATAAATTAGAAGGGTTTTTTTGCAACTATACTCCCTTACCTTCCAGAGATTTGGGTAAATTGAGTGCCAAGTGATGAGGTGCTTCCTCTGAAAGTCTTAAAGTGACTTTGTTGGCTGTGGGTGGACATTCAGGAGGGTAGGTTTTTCTTTGTCCTGAGCTGCAGTTTGATGCCCTTGTATGTTTTATATAGGTTGGTGGGTCTCCATGGGGACTACATATCAAAGTCTTAGTGTCTTTGTTTTGCTGACATTGTGGAGCCTCTTATCCAAGAGGTAAGAAAACCAGTAATGGCTGCCTCCTTGGCATCTCTCTGCTTCTGAAGGTGAAGCAAAATTAATTCAGAAAGTTTGTAAGGAACTGAATTTTGGGCCACAGAGTGTTTATGAAATGAATAGAAAAACAAGGTATCTTTTCTCAGACTTGGGTGACTGTGGGCATCTTTTTTAATGCTTCTTTTTCATCTGAATTATCTTGTAGCACATCTGTATTTCTAGGGGGTTTTTTTCTTTGTTTTTGTTTTTGTTTTTTTTTAATTTTTCTGTAGAGTGCACTTGTCAAAGAGAGACAGAGAAAGAAAAGCACTCGTAGGATCGGTGGATATTGGTGGGGCTGGCCACACCCAGTTTCTTTTCTTTATTTTCCTCCAGATTTTGGTCACACATACGTACACAAGTGGCTTGATTTTCAGGCTGCCAGGTTTGAGGCTCATACTGCAGTTGTCATGCGGGATACAACTACCTTAACCAACATGCCAACAGCTGGCCTTCTGGAATTTCATATATATATTTTTTTTAACCAGGTAGTTCTCTATAAACAATGTGGTTTGTAATAACTGTTTTACTAAGCAACTGACAATTTTTTTCTGCTTTTAAAACACCACTAAAAAGGTTATTTCAGGGGTCAGCAGAGGTGGTATGTTGGTTAAGACACTGGACTCCCACAAAGCTTCCCATGGTTCAAGTGCTGAACCTGGGTGGCTTATTTTCTCACTTTCTCTTTCTAATCGTCTCTGTCTGACTCTTTCTCTCTGGTGAGTGCACATGCTCTGTAGCAAATTAACTAATAATAATTAAATATTTAAGAAAGATTGTTTAAAACAATTTAGCAATAAAACTTCACACAACAAATTGATTTGACCTTAAGTGTACATTAACTTGCCAGAAAGAGACAGAGAACAAGTGAGAAATCACCCCCCAGGAGGGATGGCCACACCACCACTCTTCTCCATTCTCTTTCCAGAATTTGGGACGAGCACACAGCTAGCATAATTTTCAAGCCTCTGCATCCAGGACTTGAACCGCGATTGGCCATATGGGAATCCAGCACTTTAACCACCACACCACCGCCTAGCCCCTAGAACTGACTTGAGTCCACTATTGGCTTCACAATATGCAGATTATCAACATGGCAGAGAAGCAGCAGACACCGTAGTTGCTGCTTTGTAGCAAACAGCAGTGAAATATTGTGCATTCTAAGGCTGGGAAGTGTTTTTCAGTGAGATGCTTTTTTGGTTTTTTTGGCCATAATTAAGATGTGGCATATTGCATAAGGTAGTTCAAGATTTCTAACTTCTGGGACCAGCAGTTGGCGTAATGGCTATGTCACTGGACTCGCACGTAGTTGACCGTTGTTTGAGTCCCAGACCTGGTGGCTTAAACTCACGCTGGGCACGTGTGTGTGCGTGCCCAAGATCCCGAGAGGAGAACGGAGGAGAGGGGACTGCAGCGTGGCCATCCCCCCTGGGGGGTGATTTCTCGCTTTCTGTCTCTCTGTCTCTCTGTCTGGCGAGCGCGCGTGCCCTATAGCAAAAACCTTCCCCCAAAAAAAAAAAAAGATTTCTAACTTCTGACAGATAACATAGCCAGATTCAGAGTTTCTAGGACTTAATGCTTGTTTTGAAAGGTTTTACTTTTTCTCTCTATCCTTTCCTGTTTTTCATATTTAACTTTTTTTTTATGATAACAATAAATGAGGCAATATATTTTAGTGTGTTTGGATTAGTTTCCTTGTAATTTATAAGTGGCACTAATAGTATTAATCAGAAAACCAGATTTACATACATTAAATTTTAATTCCAGGTGATTTGGCTTTTGTTTTGATCTTCTTGGTTTTAAGACTATATTGTATCTTGGAGAATTATTTTAGATTTGAATTATTAAATTGGTGACAAATTTTTCATGTATTTTACAGGAAGCATTGTACTTATAGTCACGTTGGAAGCTGTTCGTTCTCCAAATGCCCACATTTTATAAATTTTCTCCTTTTTTTTTAAAGAATTATTTTATTCATTGTCTTTCTTTTTTTCTTTTTTTTTTTTTTTTTTTTTTTTGGAAGAGAGAGAGAAGGAAAGTGAGAAAGCAAGCTGCTAGGCCCAGTACTCAAACCACAGTCAGCCATGTGGGAGTCCAGCCACCCTAACTACCACACCACTGCCTGCCAGCCCCACTAATTTTATTTTGTTAAACTTTGTTTTAAGAAACTTGGGAATGTGAATATAAGTCTCCGAGTGAATGTATTAGATCACTTAATCAGTTCTTCAATTCCTGTGTACATATACAGGCTTTTTTCTTTTTCAGAAGAATTCTCTAAGGTATTAATAAGCCTTGCTCTAATGCTGAGTGCCTAGCTTTCCCCACCTCTGCATTCAGTTCATTACTTAACTTAATGCCTTAGTCTGGGTGTATTGAGGAAGGGGCCTCACACAAGCATTAATGTCTTTAGACTTCACACTTTAGAGAGTATACAGAAACTGTTAAGGATGTTTCATTAATGCCATAGCAGGGGCCAGCAGGTGGTTCTAACACTGTACTCACACAGAGCTGACTACAGTGTGAGTCCTGGACCTACTGCTTGAAACTCAGTGCCAGGCATGTATGCACGTGTGCTCAAAATCTCAGGAAGAGAATGGAGGAAATGGAATTTTTGGTGGCCATTCCCCCTGGGGGGTGATTTTTTACTTTCCCTCTCACTGTCTCACTCTGTGCATGTGCCCTATAGCAAAAAAAAAAAAAAAAAGAATACCATAGCAGTGGGGAGAACAGTCCCAGATAACTTTTTTCCCTTTTGTACTCAAAACAGTGCGGTAATGACGATGCTGAAATGGTGAGCATTTTTCTGTTTTCAGAGGTTCAATATCAGGAGTAAAGCACTGGCACCTTATTTTAAAATAATTCATTGGTATTACTTCCCTAATTCTCAGCATTAAGTTCATCACTGAACTTTTTTTTTTTAATAGAATTGTGACAGATTAGGTTGGTAGTTCATCTTTAACATCAAATATCTTAGTTTTCAAAAAAAATGATCAGAGAGGACTTAGTTTGCCTGCCAGCTTTTAAGTGTTCAAAATATATTAGTAAGAATAACTGCTCATCTTTTCTATCAGATGGGGCCAGGGTTTGTGATCCTATCACCAGTGGATTTAGTGCATATTACAAGTTGTACATGTTTTGACTTGACTTAAATTTTTTTTTCCAATAGAAACTATGTTCCAACTTCCTGTCAACAATCTTGGCAGTTTAAGAAAAGCCCGGAAAACTGTGAAAAAAATACTTAGTGACATTGGGTTGGAATACTGTAAAGAACATATAGAAGTAAGTAGCATGTCATTTTTAATTTTAACATGACTCAACTTCTATCCATTACTTCGTGTCAGTAGCCAGGATGGTTGATTCTCAGGTGTGATTCTGAATTTTAACCAGAGCATTGGCTTCCTCAAAGCTTTGTCGATTAGCATACTTAATCCCTTCTCTCTAAAATGGACATTTTCATCCTTCCTTTCTGAGGCAAAAGCTGTTATTCACTGAGGACTTAAAACATGTCAGACATTGTATTCAGTGCTTTAAAATTGTCTGTAAATTAATCCTTTACAACCTTTGCAAGTGGGTTGGGGGGAAATACAGAAGTTCTTCTCTCTAGTTTACGGTAAAGAATGAATACAGAAATAGGTCCAGCCTCATAGCTAGGGAGGAGTGGCAGTGTGTGGGGTACTCCAGAGCCTGTGCTCATTCTGATATGCCTGAGTGTTCCAGCTGACCTTCTAACTGTTGAGGCATTGTTTGTTCTTGTCTGTCTCTTTCCTTGGGATCTGAGCATTTGTTGACCCTTTTGGCCCATCATAGACTATTATCTTCCCCTTGTGTAACAGTTTGGGCTTTTCAAACTGTTTTTCTAGCCTTTCTGTTCTGTGAGGTTTGTAACAGCCCCGTGGGATAGCCAATGCAGTGATCTCCTTTTTTCACATCTTGTTAGTTGATCCAGGTCTTGTGCTTAGTTGCTTAAAGCCTCTGAAAATTGAGGCCGAAGGCTATTTTCCCCACTAAACTTCAGTTGAACAAGGACCATAGCTACCTTGTTCGTGCATTTAATCCTAGCACCTAGCACAGTGCTTGGTATGTAATAGGTGCTCAGTAAATGTATCAATATAGGCAATGGGAAGTTAAAAAGCAAATTCATTCATGCAGTAGGCTTTTCTTTTCCTGAGTTCTAATAATCCTCACAGTTATATCACAGAGCCTGGAGCTTCTCAGCATTGGGCTTCTCTAGGTTTACTGTACCAGTTTGAAAGGAGCCCCTCTCTAACTTCACAAGTTCAGGTAGATTTGCCCAGAAGAAACAGTACATTTACTTCACGTGCAGTAGGGTCATCCTCAGAAATAAATAACAAATATTAAGTATGTCTGACTTTCTGCATTTGATTTGTTCTTCCCATTAGTACCCATTACATATTCTGCAATTATACTTCTACCCAAACTGAACTGTTTTAGGAGCAAGGATAATTTTACCTCAAAATTTTTTTATCTTAGTGTGGGGGAAAGTGAGACATTAAATTTCTACATAAGAATGACACACTTGGCATCATACTGCTTGCTTTATTTGAATAATTTTCTTCCTTTTTGGGTTTAAAAATCCCAACCTCTTGGGACCAGCAGTTGGCGTAATGGCTATGTCGCTGGACTCCCATGTAGTCCACCGCAGTTCAAATCCCAGACCCAGTGACTTAAACTCAGACTGGGTGTGTGTGCGTGCATGCCCGAGAGGAGAATGGAGAAGGGATTGCAGCGTGGCCATCTCCCCCTGGGGGGTGATTTCTTGCTTTCTGTCTCTCTGTCTTTCTGTTGAGCGCACGCACCCCATAGCAATAACCTCTCCAAAAAACAAACAAACAAAAAATCCCAACCTCTCTTCACAGTTCATCCTCAGACCCAATCTGGTTGGGGTTTTTGTTTGTTTGTTTGTTTCATTTCTTTTGTTTTTTCTTTTATCTTTTTTTTTTCTTTTTGCTGTTTTTTTCTCCACAAATCAGAATATCGTATCCAAAGTGCCTTGATCAAATATTGCTATCTTAGACTCCATTTTAGTACTATTATGTAACGAGAACAAGTTACAGTACTCTTAAGAAAAGTGAATTGGTATAAGTATATAGTTGGATTTTTTATTTAATTTGAACTTCCAGCACATTCTTTGAAAATGTGTCTGGCCCTTAGGAGAATGTTTCATTGATACAAAATACAACTTCATTATGCCTTTTTGTATTTCCTAAGAGCCTTATTGTTACTGTAGTTCTTGATAGGATTGGTTTTCCTGTGCCTTTTTTCAACCTGAATTATGAGGGTAGGATTTATATAGTGTGGGCTACTGTTGATACCACTGTGTTTTAAACTTTTTTCCCTATTTTCTAGGATTTTAAACAGTTTGAACCTAATGACTTTTATTTGAAAAACACTACATGGGAGGATGTAGGACTGTGGGACCCTTCACTTACAAAAAACCAGGTAAGTGGTACAGAAGACTTCCTCAAATGACAGCATCCTTGATAATCCCCTGTTCAGCTCTAAGTCCTGGTTAGTAATGTGGTACTGATAGCCAACAACCTAATCTGAAAATATCAAAATTGCATGTTTAATATTTTCCTCAATGTTACGAAAAACTAGGAACCTCTTGTCTCTTTTTGGTCATTGGACTGAAAATTTGGGTGTAAGAAAAATGTGTTACTTCAAAATTCTGAAGCCAATTATATGCCATCAGTTCTCTCCAAAAGTGCTTTGGCTCTTCCATTTCTAAACTGTTCACTCAACATTCTGTCTATCCAGTTACCCGTTATTTTTCTGTGTGTTGCCATCTTTTTTTTCTTTTTTCAAATCTCTCTCTCTCTCTCTAGAGAAAAAAGGACCTGATTCTTTCTCCTATTTAAGCTTTACTTGTCTCTGTTGATGACACCCAACCTATGTGGGATACAAGGATATCCACAACTCTGTAAGATAGATCTAACCTCAGTGATAGATAAAACCTATATACCTTTTTACAAATTGGCATTGAGAAATATTAGTGGTGCCAGCACATATCAGTAGATAAAGATGTAATGAAGATAAGAGTTCCGGGGACCAGCAAGTGGCATGTAGGTTAAAGCTGCTGGATCCCACATGGCCAGCAGTAAAGCTCTGGACCTGGTAATTTGGAGAAAACACAAGGTGCCTGTGCATGCATGCCCAGATTCCCAAGAGGGGAATGAAAGTAGAAAGGATTGAAGTGTGGCCATCTGCCCAAGGAGTGATTTCTCACTTTCTCCCCTCCCCACACACACTGCAAGCACATGTACCCTATAGCAAATTTTAAGAAAAGAGAGCCTTAAAAATAGTGTTTCTTTTTCACAGGGAGTAGTTATCATCGGTGTAGATTTACTTTCACCTATTCCAGTAGTGATTCTGATTCTGCATTACTTATCTGCTCATCTACTAGGGCATACTTGGCAGGGAATTAGTACTTTTAAACTCTACTTCCGAAATTGAAGGTGGGGAACCAGCAGTGCATGCAGAGACAGTGAGAGGGGAGATGAGAAATCACGCTCCCAGAGGGATGGCCATACCACAATCCCTTTTCCATTCTCCTCCTAGGATCTTGGTTATGCATGCAACACACCCTGTGTGATTTTCAAGCAACCAGGTCCTGGACTTGAACCGCTGTCAGCCATGTGGAAGACCAGTGACGTAGCCAGTATGCCATCTGCTGGTCTTCTTCATTCAGTTTTATAGATCCAAAAATCTTAAAGTTTAATACTAAAGGGTTGAGCTTTGAGGAAAAACAATAGTCATGTGCCACATAATGACATTTTGGTCTACACTGGGCTATAGATATCACATGGTCCCAGAAGATTATAATGGTACTGAAAAATTTCTGTCACCTGGTGACATCATAACTGTTAGAAAGTTATAATGCAAGGCATTACTGATGTTTTGGTGGTATAAACAAATCAATCAATACTGCAAGTCATGAGAGCATAGCATATACAGTTACAGACAGCACATAATACTTGAGAATGGTGATAAACAACTGTGCCACTGGTTTATGTATTTACTATAGTGTTTATCTTTTCTTACTTATAAAAAGGTTACTGTAAAACAGTATACTTTGTTACACTAGCAGCAGCTTCATGCATCTCATGTTTTGTTCATCAATATAATTTTGTTCGTCAATATCATGTTCATTATGGCTTCTGCATGCACAAAATCCACTGCTGATGTTGCCAGTAAGAAACTATGTTGAGTGGGAACCAGCAGTTAGCGTAATGGCTATGTCGCTGGACTCCCATGTAGTCGACCGCGGTTCGTGTCCCGGACCCGGTGGCTTAAAACTCACGCCGGGCGCGTGTGCGTGCGTGCCCAAGATCCCGAGAGGAGAATGGAGGAGAAGGGATTGCGGCGTGACCATCCCCCCTGGGGGGTGATTTCTCGCTTTCTGTCTCTGATGTCTCTCTCTGTCTGTCTGGCGAGCGCACGCGCCCTACAGTGAAAATCTCTCCAAAGAAACTATGTTGAGTGATCTGAAAACACAATTAAAAGTCATTAAGGAATAGGGAACCAGCAGATGGTGTAGCGGTTATGTCATGGCCAACCGGGGTTCATGTCCCGGACTCAGTGGCTTCAAACTCATGCCAGGCGTTTGTGCGTGCGTGCGTGTGCCTGAGATCCCTGGACGAGAAGGGATTGAGGCATGACCATCTCCCTCTGGGGATGATTTAAAAAGTGGAAATTCAGTAATGGTTATTGCTCACCAGTTAGGCCTGTCTCATTCCACCACAGCTATAATTTTGAAGAACAAGAACAAAGTGAGGGAAGCTATTAAAGGATGACTTCATTGAAGATAAAACTGACTCAAGAAGGGTCCATATTAGGTATGAAGAAGTGACCTGGATTGAAGAACAGGCCCTAAGTGTATCTCTCTTAGCACCATGATGATGGCCAAAGCAAAATGTTTGCATTTTTTAAAGAAAAAAGCTTAATCCAGCTACAGTGTTGATTTTACTAAAGATTTTTGCCACAGCCAGCAGGTGGCATAGTGGTTAAAGCACTGGGCTCCCATGTGGCCAACTACAATTCAGATCACTGACTGGAGGCTTGAAATTTGTGCTGGGCTAATGTGCATGTGTGCCCAAAATCCTGACAGGAACAGTGGAAGAAAAGGGATTGTGGTGTGGCAATCTCGGGGGGTGGGGGGGGATGTTGGTGATTTCTTACTTTGTCTCTCTAGTGAGCACTAATGCCCTATAGCAAAAGTCTCACAGAAAAAAACAAGTTTGCCATAGGACAAATATGTGAATTCACTGGAGAAATAAAGGGAAGGTGAGAAATCACCACCAGGGAGAAGGCCACACCACAGTTCCTCTTCCATTCTCCTCTCTGGATTTTGGGCATGCATGCATATAGACCTGGTGTGCTTTTCAGGCTGACAGGCTCGGGACTCATAATCTGCAGAGTAGGCCATGTAGTATCCAACACCTTAGCCACCATACCACCTGCTTGCCCATAGCTCTGGGTGTTTTAAACAGTTCAAGAATCATTTTTTTAATGTAATATGAAAGTGGATGGCAAGTCTGTACATGCTCATATGAAGACAGCTGAAGAATTTCTGGAAACACTAGATGGGCTGATTATGGAGAAAATTTACTTGCCAGAGCAAATTTTCAGTATGGATTAAACCCCTCCCTATTTTGGAAACGGAACCTGAAAGGACTTCCATCTACGAGGAATCCAAGTCAATACCAGGTTTTAAAGCTTTTAAGGAGAGGTTCACAGTCTTGCTTGGGGGCAGTGTTGCAAGCTACAAATTGAAATCCTTTGTGATCTGGCACAATAAGAACCCCAGGGCCTTCAAGTGGATCAGTAAACACATACTACCAGTGTACTACTGGAGCAGTGAGAAGTCATGAATGACCCAACTCTTTGTCGGGATGCCCTCTTGAATTGCTATACCAGGGAAATGGAGTAACACTGTTTAAAGAATAACATACCTTTCAAGATTTTGCTTATTGCTGATAACATTTGTACAGTACACATCCTCCTTTTATTGGTGATCTTCATCTCAACATCGAAGTGTTACTTCTTTCTTCAAACACCACCTCTTTGATTTAACCAGTGGGACAAGGAGTTTTAGCTGCTTTTAAAGTCTACTACTGGAGGAGGACCTTTGCCCAAGCTTTTGCTACAACTTGAGGAAGAAGACACTGATGCAATGTTGGAACAATTAAAATAGATAAGACTATATCAAGAAACCTGCCTCAGTTTAGAGTAATAACACCAAGGAATGAATTGCATCTGGAAGAAAATACTCGAGGTTCATCCATGACCTCAAAAGACAAGGATGTTGCAAAAAGCAAGAAGGCTATGGTTGAAATGGCAAACAACTTTAACCAGTGTGTGTATGAGAATGATATCAAAGAGCTTAGAGGAATTGACTAACAAGGAGTTTATGGAACAAGAACAGGAACATGTAGCTGAAGCATATAGCTGAAGTGAAAAGGAAATCATGGAAGTCTTTACAAGAAAATTCCCAGTGAAGAGTTTAGCAATTACTTTTGCAGACCTTAACAAGCTCCTTAAAAAATTTAAAAACCTAACGGGAGATACCGTGATCATGAAGGTGGTTTTTCCCAGAGTGAGGCTTTTCCATTGTACTCCAATGTGCTGGCCCCTGCGATTTCCCCAAATGTGGGAAACTCAAACTATATAATTTGTGGTGGTTGGGGACTGCGTTCATGCTTTCCCCTAGTTACAAAAAAAAAAAAAAAAAGAAAGAAAGAAAGAAAAATTTAAAAACCTGGAACCCCAAAATCAAAAAGTTTTCATCAATAGAGAGGAATATTCACAGTGCATTATTGCTTGCAAACAAATCTGATAAAAAAGAAACCACAGACACATTTCTGAAAACAAGGACACCTCTTCAAGAAGAGCCTTAGCCGGTTTCTTCAGGAAATACTCCCAAAAGAAGGCATTGTTTACAGGACATGACAACTCCATGCACATCATTGCCTCTGAAGACCCTCCAATGGGACAAGATAGGGAGGTAGGAGACAGTGAATTGCTAATGCTGACCCCTATGCAGGCCTAGGCTAATGTGTATGTTTGTGTCTTAGTTTTTACCAGAAACTTAAAAAGTAAAAAATCATTATCATTATTCTTCAATTTGATAAGGGAGAGTGAGAAAGCAAGCCACCAGGTCCAGTACTATAGCCTTTGTGTACAGTGTTGAGTCTACAGTCATGTACAGTAATGTCTTAGGCTTCACATCCACTCATTATTCATTCATTGACTTCCAAGAGCAGCATCCAGTCCTGTGAGCTCCATTTATTTATTTTTTTTCTTTCTTTTTTTGGAAAGGTTTTTGCTATAGGACTCGTATGCTCACCAGAAAGACAGAAACAGACAGAGACAGAAAGTGAGAAATCACCCCCCCCCCCCGGGGGGGACGGCCCCACCGCAGGGGGGATGGCCACACCGCAATCTCTTATCCGTTCTCCTCCTGGGATCTTGGGCACGCACGCACACGCGCGTGGTGTGGGTTTAAGCCACTGGGTCCAGGACTCGAACCAGGGTTGACTACATGGAAGTCCAGCGACATAGCCATTATGCTAACTGCTGGTCCCAGCTCCATTTATTTTAAGTGCCCTATACAGGTATATATTTTTTAATCTTTTATACTGTATTGTTTATTATTGTACCTTTTCTATGTTTAGATACATAAATACTCTGTATTATAATTGCCCATAGTATTCAGGCTAGTAACGTGCCATCCACATTTGTAGCCTAAGAGTAACAGACTACACCTCATGGCCTAAGTGTGTAATAAGCTACACCATCTAGGTTTGTGCAAGTATACTCTATGATGTTTGCACAACAATGAAATCATTTGATGGCATAGATCTCAAAAACAGCCCCGTCATTAAGTGGCACATGACTGTATTTCATTTTGGGTCAAACCAGTATCTGAAACACAGTAGGTTTCTATGGATGAAAGATAACTTCTGGCCAAACATATGTTCACCTGTCTTCAAAGGACCAACTCCGTAGCTTTTTGATCAGCATTGAAATCTGAATACTACATTGTACTTTGATCACAGAAGAAGAAATTGAGTCTTGCCTTTTCTCAATTAAAATATTTCCATAATGAGAAGGATATGAAATATATCTTACCTCTTCTAATTGTCTAATTGCACTAAAACTCCCTGGACCCTGAATTGTACTGTCTAGTAAATAATGAAGCCTTGGGACCAGCAGGTGGCATAATGGTTATGTTGCTGGACTCTCATATGGTCGACCACAGTTCGATTCCCAGATGCACTGGCTTCAAATTCACATCAGGCGTGTGTATATATGTGTCCAAAATCCAGAGAGGAGAGTAGAGAAGGGATTGCGGTGTGGTCATCCTCCCCGGGGAGTGATTTCTCACTTTCTGTCTCTCTGTCTCTTCAGCAAGCACAGATGCTCTATAGCAAAAAATCTCCTTTAAAAAAAAAAATTAAATAATGACACCTTTAGCAGCTTTCTGATTTGCAGAGTGAAATGGTTTCATGTAGTCTATTCTTAAACTTTCTAATTGTATAAATGTGACCATTTGGTTTGTCTAAAATGGATCAGCACATGTGATCTGATCTTTTCTAAATTGAAGTACCTAGTTAGCATTGAGTGTTTGATTTACACTATGTGACATAAAATATTTGGTTTAAAACTTTTGAGTTTTTTACTTCATAATTTTATTCTGCTAAAGGGAGAGAAACTTACTGTGCTCCATGCTTTATAGGATTTCCATCCTTAAAATAGCATCGTGAGAATGGAAGAAAAAAATCTAGAACCTGTTACTGCCTGTCTGAAGTGGCATTCTGATTCCAGTTTTTGTGTGTGTGTGTGTGTTGTTTGTTGTTTTTTTTGTTTTGTTGTTTGTTTGTTTTTTAGGACTATCGGACAAAACCTTTTTGCTGCAGCGCTTGTCCATTTTCCGCAAAGTTCTTCTCTGCCTACAAAAGTCATTTCCGGAACGTCCATAGTGAAGACTTTGAAAATAGGATTCTCCTTAATTGCCCCTATTGTACCTTTAATGCAGACAAAAAGACTTTGGAAACACACATTAAAATCTTTCATGCTCCAAACGCCAGCGCACCAAGTAGCAGCCTCAGCACTTTCAAAGATAAAAACAAAAATGATGGCCTTAAACCTAAACAGGCTGACAGTGTAGAGCAAGCTGTTTATTACTGTAAGAAGTGCACTTACCGAGATCCTCTTTATGAAATAGTTAGGAAGCACATTTACAGGGAACATTTTCAGCATGTGGCAGCACCTTATATAGCAAAGGCAGGAGAAAAATCACTCAACGGTGCGGTTCCTTTGGGCTCAAATGCCCGAGAAGAGAGTAGTATTCACTGCAAGCGATGCCTTTTCATGCCAAAGTCCTATGAAGCTTTGGTACAACATGTAGGTGTACAGACTTTTTTCTTTTGGAGAGGTTTTTGGTATAGGGTTCGTGCCCTCGCCAGACAGACAGACAAAGACAGAGAGATAGAAAGCAAGAAATGACCCCCCCAGGGGGGATGGCCACACCGCAATCTCTTATCCGTTCTCCTCCTGGGATCTTGGGCACGCACGCACACGCGCGTGGTGTGGGTTTAAGCCACTGGGTCCAGGACTCGAACCAGGGTTGACTACATGGAAGTCCAGCGACATAGCCATTATGCTAACTGCTGGTCCCAGCTCCATTTATTTTAAGTGCCCTATACAGGTATATATTTTTTAATCTTTTATACTGTATTGTTTATTATTGTACCTTTTCTATGTTTAGATACATAAATACTCTGTATTATAATTGCCCATAGTATTCAGGCTAGTAACGTGCCATCCACATTTGTAGCCTAAGAGTAACAGACTACACCTCATGGCCTAAGTGTGTAATAAGCTACACCATCTAGGTTTGTGCAAGTATACTCTATGATGTTTGCACAACAATGAAATCATTTGATGGCATAGATCTCAAAAACAGCCCCGTCATTAAGTGGCACATGACTGTATTTCATTTTGGGTCAAACCAGTATCTGAAACACAGTAGGTTTCTATGGATGAAAGATAACTTCTGGCCAAACATATGTTCACCTGTCTTCAAAGGACCAACTCCGTAGCTTTTTGATCAGCATTGAAATCTGAATACTACATTGTACTTTGATCACAGAAGAAGAAATTGAGTCTTGCCTTTTCTCAATTAAAATATTTCCATAATGAGAAGGATATGAAATATATCTTACCTCTTCTAATTGTCTAATTGCACTAAAACTCCCTGGACCCTGAATTGTACTGTCTAGTAAATAATGAAGCCTTGGGACCAGCAGGTGGCATAATGGTTATGTTGCTGGACTCTCATATGGTCGACCACAGTTCGATTCCCAGATGCACTGGCTTCAAATTCACATCAGGCGTGTGTATATATGTGTCCAAAATCCAGAGAGGAGAGTAGAGAAGGGATTGCGGTGTGGTCATCCTCCCCGGGGAGTGATTTCTCACTTTCTGTCTCTCTGTCTCTTCAGCAAGCACAGATGCTCTATAGCAAAAAATCTCCTTTAAAAAAAAAAATTAAATAATGACACCTTTAGCAGCTTTCTGATTTGCAGAGTGAAATGGTTTCATGTAGTCTATTCTTAAACTTTCTAATTGTATAAATGTGACCATTTGGTTTGTCTAAAATGGATCAGCACATGTGATCTGATCTTTTCTAAATTGAAGTACCTAGTTAGCATTGAGTGTTTGATTTACACTATGTGACATAAAATATTTGGTTTAAAACTTTTGAGTTTTTTACTTCATAATTTTATTCTGCTAAAGGGAGAGAAACTTACTGTGCTCCATGCTTTATAGGATTTCCATCCTTAAAATAGCATCGTGAGAATGGAAGAAAAAAATCTAGAACCTGTTACTGCCTGTCTGAAGTGGCATTCTGATTCCAGTTTTTGTGTGTGTGTGTGTGTTGTTTGTTGTTTTTTTTGTTTTGTTGTTTGTTTGTTTTTTAGGACTATCGGACAAAACCTTTTTGCTGCAGCGCTTGTCCATTTTCCTCAAAGTTCTTCTCTGCCTACAAAAGTCATTTCCGGAACGTCCATAGTGAAGACTTTGAAAATAGGATTCTCCTTAATTGCCCCTATTGTACCTTTAATGCAGACAAAAAGACTTTGGAAACACACATTAAAATCTTTCATGCTCCAAACGCCAGCGCACCAAGTAGCAGCCTCAGCACTTTCAAAGATAAAAACAAAAATGATGGCCTTAAACCTAAACAGGCTGACAGTGTAGAGCAAGCTGTTTATTACTGTAAGAAGTGCACTTACCGAGATCCTCTTTATGAAATAGTTAGGAAGCACATTTACAGGGAACATTTTCAGCATGTGGCAGCACCTTATATAGCAAAGGCAGGAGAAAAATCACTCAACGGTGCGGTTCCTTTGGGCTCAAATGCCCGAGAAGAGAGTAGTATTCACTGCAAGCGATGCCTTTTCATGCCAAAGTCCTATGAAGCTTTGGTACAACATGTCATAGAAGACCATGAACGCATAGGTTATCAGGTCACTGCCATGATTGGGCACACAAATGTGGTGGTTCCTCGATCCAAACCTCTGATGCTAATTGCTCCCAAACCTCAAGAGAAGAAAGGTATGGGACTTCCACCAAGAATTGGTTCCATTGCTTCTGGAAATGTCCGGTCTTTACCATCCCAGCAGATGGTCAATCGACTCTCAATACCAAAGCCTAACTTAAATTCTACAGGAGTCAACGTGATGTCCAATGTTCACCTACAGCAGAACAATTATGGAGTCAAATCTGTAGGCCAAGGCTACGGCGTTGGTCAGTCAATGAGACTGGGTCTAAGTGGCAATGCATCAGTTTCCATTCCTCAACAGTCTCAATCTGTGAAGCAGTTACTTCCGAGTGGAAATGGAAGGTCTTACGGGCTTGGGTCAGAACAAAGGTCCCAAGCACCAGCACGATACTCCCTGCAATCTGCTAATGCCTCTTCCCTTTCATCAAGCCAGTTAAAGTCGTCTTCCCTCTCCCAGTCACAGGCATCCAGAGGATTAGGCCAGCCTAGTTCCAAAACCATATTAACTGCCGTACTCCCTCCTCCACCTAATAATTGCTCAACTCAAAAGTGGAAAATTTGTACAATCTGTAATGAGCTTTTTCCTGAAAATGTCTATAGTGTGCACTTCGAAAAAGAACATAAAGCTGAAAAAGTCCCTGCAGTAGCCAACTACATTATGAAAATACACAATTTTACTAGCAAATGCCTCTACTGTAATCGCTATTTGCCCACAGATACCCTGCTCAACCACATGTTAATTCATGGTCTTTCTTGTCCATATTGCCGTTCAACTTTCAATGATGTGGAAAAGATGGCAGCGCACATGCGGATGGTTCACATTGATGAAGAGATGGGACCTAAAACAGATTCGACTTTGAGTTTTGATTTGACATTGCAGCAGGGTAGTCACACCAACATCCATCTCCTGGTAACTACGTACAACCTGAGGGATGCCCCAGCTGAATCTGTTGCTTATCATGCCCAAAATAATCCTCCACCTCCTCCAAAGCCACAGCCAAAAGTTCAGGAAAAGGCAGATATCCCTGTTAAAAGTTCACCTCAAGCTGCAGTGCCCTATAAAAAAGATGTTGGGAAAACCCTTTGTCCTCTTTGTTTCTCAATCCTGAAAGGACCTATATCTGATGCACTTGCACATCACTTACGAGAGAGGCACCAAGTTATTCAGACTGTTCATCCAGTTGAGAAAAAGCTCACCTACAAGTGTATCCATTGCCTCGGTGTGTATACCAGCAACATGACCGCCTCAACTATCACTCTGCATCTTGTTCACTGCCGGGGTGTTGGAAAGACCCAAAATGGCCAGGATAAGACAACTGCACCGTCTCGGCTTAATCAATCTCCAGGTCTGGCACCAGTGAAGCGCACTTATGAGCAAATGGAATTTCCCTTGCTGAAAAAGCGAAAGCTAGATGATGATAGCGATTCACCCAGCTGCTTTGAAGAGAAACCCGAAGAGCCTGTTGTTTTAGCTTTAGACCCCAAGGGTCATGAAGATGATTCCTATGAAGCCAGGAAAAGCTTTCTAACAAAGTATTTCAATAAACAGCCCTATCCTACCAGGAGAGAAATTGAGAAACTAGCGGCCAGTTTATGGTTGTGGAAGAGTGACATTGCTTCCCATTTTAGTAACAAAAGGAAGAAGTGTGTCCGTGATTGTGAAAAGTACAAGCCTGGTGTGTTACTGGGCTTTAACATGAAAGAATTGAATAAAGTCAAGCATGAGATGGATTTTGATGCCGAATGGCTGTTTGAAAATCATGATGAAAAGGATTCTAGAGTCAACGCTAGTAAGACTGCTGACAAAAAGCTCAGTCTTGGGAAGGAAGATGACAGCTCCTCAGACAGTTTTGAAAATTTAGAAGAAGAATCCAATGGCAGTGGTAGCCCTTTTGACCCTGTGTTTGAAGTAGAGCCTAAAATCTCTAATGATAACCTGGAGGAACATGTATCGAAGGTGATTCCTGAGGATGCTATAGAATCTGAAGAGAAGCAAGACCAAAAAGAGGAAAATGGTTCAAAATACGGAACTCTTCATTTGACTGAGGAACCAGCCAAACTAATGCATGATGCTTCTGATAGTGAGGTTGACCAAGATGATGATGTTGAGTGGAAAGATGGAGCCTCTCCATCTGAGAGCGGGCCTGGTTCCCAGCAAGGTTCAGACTTTGAGGATAATACATGTGAAATGAAACCAGGAACCTGGTCTGACGAGTCTTCCCAGAGTGAAGATGGAAGGAGCAGTAAGCCAGCTGCCAAAAAAAAGGCTACCATGCCAGGTGACAGAGAGCAGTTGAAGTGGAAGAATAGTTCCTATGGAAAAGTTGAAGGGTTTTGGTCTAAGGACCAGTCACAGTGGAAAAACACATCTGAGAATGATGAGCGCTTATCTAACCCCCAGATTGAGTGGCAGAATAGCACAATTGACAGTGAGGATGGGGAGCAGTTTGACAGCATGGCTGATGGGGTAGCTGAGCCGATGCATGGCAGCTTGACCGGAGTGAAACTGAGCAGCCAACAGGCCTAGGTGCCAGGTGTCCCAGCATCAGTGACATGCTACAGCCTGGAGCTCTGTTCTCCTTCCATTGTGACTGCACAGCTGTCTTCTCACTGGTGCTGCCTCATGAGTACTGGTTAGTGGGCTGTGGGGATACATGGCCACTGCAGTCCCAGTGGTTATTTCTAAGTCTATGACACATGATTGATTGATCTTGCTTCTGAATCTTCTCTGACAGACACAGTAACTAAATGTGAAAAACCAATAAGCTGGTGGCTCACGAACGCACACAAGGAAAAGCAGAGGTTTACTTTATCTGCCTTCTCAACCTTCCCTCTGTAAAATGATTGGATGTCCTTGAGAAGCGTTATTCTGGTTCACACGGTAGTATAGGGCCAACATACAAGCTACCAGTCTAATGTGTATAGTAGACTTTGGAAAAATTGATTTTTTTTTCATGTATTCATTCTGAATAGTTGAAATGTATATTTGTACAGTCTTTTAGACCTATTCAAGTGATGCTTATGATATTGTTATTGTGTGCTCATCATAGATTTGTTTCTTATTTTAGTGTTGCCCTTGCTGTGTAATAAATGCTATATCTAGTTTATCTAGCAAAAGCTTGAAACTGCTCTAGTATGGACTTTTGGACAGACTTAGTTTTTGCACATAACCTTGTACAATCTTGCAACAGAGGCCAGCCACATAAGATATATATCTGGACTCTCTTGTATTATAGAATTTTTCTTGTTCTGAATATCCTCAACATTACAGCTGTCAAAAACGAAAATGTATTTCAGATCTGTTTTCTGAAATCTTTTAAGCTAAAATCACATGCAAGAATTGACTTTGCAGCTACTAATTTTGACACCTTTTAGATCTGTATAAAAGTGTGTTGTGTTGAAGCAGCAAACTAATGACTGCTGCATTTTGGATATTTAGTTTTATCTTTAGTTAAACACCACCCTGGTGTATTCATTTATACCATCTAATATATGACACACTGTTGTAGTATGTATAATTTTGTGATCTTTATTTCCCTTTGTATTCATTTTAAGCATCTAAATAAATTGCTGTATTGTGCTTAATGTAAATATTTGGTTTATTACACTTGACAGTCCTGTGTGTCCATTACATTTTGTGCCATTTGATGCCATGGCTCTATTTCATCAGAGATGGAAGCTGCTGTCACAGAGAAAACTGTGGAAAACCAAGACCTTATAAAGAGTGCTTTCTCTCAAGGCACCTGATATTATTTGGTTTTATTTTTCCTTTTAAGTGCAAAAATATCCTTGAGTTTTTTAGTTTCCCTTTTGTTAAGGAGCAGAGTCTGCATATGTATATAAATGTCTCAATGATGAAAGGATGTGAACATAAATGGGCATTAATTTACAAGCAGAAAAAAAAAAAAGACGTTGTTTTCTTGTTGTTTTGTTTTGTGTTTGTTTGTTTGTTTTCCAGAGCTTGGGGCATTCCTATTTCCAGTAGCCAACTCCTTTATATTGGGGACAGACCCTAGTGGGGAACGGAAGATGTCAGTTACGGGCGTTGTCCAGTGCCCAAGGCTCCCACATTAGAAACATTTAGGGTTTTGTTGTTTTTAGGCAGAGGCTCTGACCTGGGCTTTTCCAGATCTTGCCTTTCAGTGGAACCTAAATTCCCAGCCTTCAGGATTACCATAGTGACTCAGGTATTTAGACCACAAGCAATCAGGCCTTTTTTGTTTGTCTTGTTAAGTTAAATCAAAGGTTAAGGTAAATTGTCAAATTAATTACAGCATTTTATCTAAACTTCCTACACCTCTTCTGATCTGTGAGAGAGATGTTGCCCTGAGAAGAGAACCTAAACTCCAGTAGATCCTATGATTTTTGGTTTTATCTCCTGTAAGGAGCAGCTGAGTAACTCCAGGAGGGTAAAGCTGTCTTTTTCCCTAGGCCTTTGGTACACACAATGCCATCTGCTGGTCCTAGTGTAAAATATTTTAATAAGCTAAAATAATGTTGAATTTTGTTTAGATACCTTAACTGTACCCTTTTCTTTATTTTGGTTGCTATTTTTCATATCACTTTTTCCATTTTCTGTCCACTTGACATACATTAGATTTTTTTGTCTTGTATCTTAGATCACATTACTTGTGAGTATACTTTTTCTCTAAATTGTTTCACATTCACATCATGAACATACTCAATAAATCCTGCT